AGAGGAAAACCAAAAATATTTATCAATAAATAAACATAAATTATTTAAATAGCTCGGGCCCACCATTGAAGAACTTGATGACATCCGTAAAGTCCATGCTGTTGGATAGAATGATGTCGCGATAGGTCTCGAGCAGCGCCAGCGCCAGGAAGAGCACAAAGTGCCCGGAGGCAATGTGCTTGGCCGCCCAGATGACCTCCCAGGTGGCGAAGACATCGTCGTAGATGAGCTCGCGCTTGAAGTCCAAGAGGAACCAGCGGTAGCAGAAATAGAAGTGCGTATAGTCCCCGTTCGAGTCCATTAGGTCGTACATCTCCGAGTCCAGTATCTGAATGAGTGAGCTGAGAGAGCGAGAGAGACAGAGCGTTAGAAAGAGAGCGCTAGTGCATGGATATAGATGGGGATAGATACCGCATGTTGGCAAAGTGCATGTCCATGGCACCGCCGCTGGGAAAGTTCTCGATCATGCGCTCCATCAGCTTGCAGAAGCAGCTGTAGCTGAGCGACTCGTCATCGAAGATGACCAGCAATGGAGCGACCAGATCGCACATGCCCTGCATGTAGCCCACATCCAGATGCTCCCACACATACGTCGATATCACATTGCGCAGCTTGTCCAGATTCTCGCTGGCAAAGTACCAATAGTTGCGATCGCAGCGCTGCACATCCTTCTCGATCCGATGCAGATTCAAGCCAAACTGCTCCAGCAGCTCAACGCTATAGACGCCGCCATTGGAGCTGGCCGGTGAGACGCAGGCTGACTTTGGCTCCTGCAGCGCATCCAGCGAGGCGACGACGGTGATGTCCTCGTTCAGGGGCGACATGAGGCTGGTCTTGCGTGAGGTAAACTCCTCGGTGGGCTCGTCGTCGTTGCATTGTGCGTCCAGGTCATCCAGTGAGGCGGCCTCGGTGATAATGACTGAAGTTGCCGGATGCTCCTCGTCGTGGCGCACATCGTCGGCGCTATGAAATTTGCTCAGCTGGCCATTTGGGTCCGTCTCCACATCAGTGGCCATTTCCTCATCCACATCCACATTCACTACCGCCTCGGGCTCCAGCTCTGCCTCGTCCAGGACCTTGGCATCCGTTAGGTCGGCAAACTCGTTGCCCACCGTCTCATAGCTGCTGGTCGAGGGTGAGCTCTTGATGCTCAGCATCAGGATATTGCCACTGCCGTCCAGACTGAAACCTAGATCGCCCTCGGCCTCGGAATCGCCGAAGCAGTTGTCATGCAAGCGCAGTGGCTCCATATCATCAATGTTCTGAAACTCCAGCACCACCTGGCCGCTCAGCTGTGCCGGCAGCTCGGCTGCCTCTTCCCCTTCTTCCACTCCTTCTCCTTCTTCTGCGGCTTCTTTTTCCTCTGCCACTGGCGCCGGCTGCTCAGTCTCCAGCGAGGGCTGCTCTTCATTCAGTGGCTGCTCGTCGTACTCATCACCCGGATCGGATATGTCCGAAAAGTCATTATCATCAAACACATCATTCTCGCCCTCGGCCAAGCCGCCGCCATTGTCCAGCTCCAGCTGTCCGTTGCCATTGGTCAGCAGATCGCTTGAGGCGTGCGGATTGGCATTGGCATTGGCCAGCTGTGCCTGCTCGGCGCTCAGCTTGGCCACCGCCAGGGCCGTCTTCTCCTTCTCCCGCTGCCGCACAATCGCCTCGACGGCCAGCCACTCGCTCATCGTGGTCTCATAGTAGTGCTTGCAGGTCTCGTCCTGCTTGCGTCGCTCCTCCGGCGTCGAGCCGAACGCATAGTGGCCAAGCAGATACGGCCAGACCTCCTTGCGCAGCTCGTGCTCCACGCCACCGAAATAGACCAGACGATAGAGCTCCAGGTCAGCAGAGACGACGCCATCCACATTCATTGCCTGCCACTTCTCCCGGGTTAGTCCCTGCTCATTGGCGGCCACTGGAAGCGGGAAAAATGTTAGGAAACTTTGTGGGTTCATTTCAGCTCGACTTACAATCGGGGGTAATGCGTCCGTGAACCAGACCGGAAAGATGCGTCCGCACCGTGGATAGATGGCGACAGTAGGCCAGCCAGCCGTAGAAGGCGCGCGAGATGATCTGGCGACGCATCGTGGAGCAGACCAGCTCAATGCTGGCCGTTTGGCTGGCCTGTATCAATGGCGGATCCGGATTGCTGCTCTGGTCAATGGAGAGGCTCTTGCTGGAGCAGTCGCTGCTGCCGGTGGTCGAGCAGCTGCCCAGATGCTTGCGCCGCGGACTGGAACGGCCCACCTCCAGTATGGGATGTGTGGCCACTGCAACGTTAAAGTCAATCATCAATCATCAATCTCATCATCAATCATCATCATCAATCAGGTCATCTACTTACGGAACTCCTCGTGCTGACTCTTGCTGACCACACGAAACACATAGTCGATGGGCGTCTCGTCCATGGAGGACTCCATGACCGAGGGCAGGATGTGCCTGCGCACGCTCTTGGGCCAGGGGAAGAGCTTGCCAATGCCGCGCTGTGACCAGAGCGGCGGATCGAGCTGGCCGTGCGGCAGCAGACCCGTCTCCAGGCAGCTGAGGAACGCCTGCAAGTGCCCGCCCTCCGGGAAGTGTATGGGCGGCCGCTGTACGCCGTCCTGGCCAACGAGTATAATGGTGCCGCCGGTGTCGCCGCCACGATTCTGATGGCAATGCACATAGACGATCTCATCGACGTTGATGTTGAGCGCATAGCTCCAATAGTAGCTCGTGTCGCTCACATCGGGATCGTTGTAGCCGTTCATCAGCTGATTCGGCGTCCATTTGATGGTCAGCGACTGGACGCTCTGGTGCAGACTAAGGTAGCCGGGCATCGGCTCGGCCACATCCTTGGGCAGCACCAGCACATTGTTCTTGCCGTAGAGCAGGGTGGTGCGCGAATTCTGATGCAGCGACTCCACATAGTCCTTGGCCACGCTCGCCGGCGAGCAGGCCTTGAAGCTGCCGCTGCTCGTGTCCTCCGAGCTGGTGTGCAGGCTGCGCTTGAAGTTGATGATGGGCCGATGGCAGGTGGGCGGCGTCCGGTTGCCCGAGCTGATGCGATGACGCTGCACCTGTGTGAATCAATTGATGAGAATCTATGCAATTTCTCTAGAGCACCTGCTGTTGCTTACCAGCTCATCGGCGCAGGGATCGGACCAGTAGTGGTCGGCAGTCTTGGCGCGCGTGAACTCCAGGGCGCAGGGGCCCACCAGCAGCGAGCTGAGTATGGAGCCGTAATCGGGATCGGCGACCAGCGCCTCGCGATCGTAATAGCTCTGAGCGTTGTTCACCAAATGCTCAATGATCTTGGCCAGGCGCTTCTCGTAGAGGGCCAGGCGTATCCACAGGTATTTGCCCAGCGGCGCGGCAGCACCGTTAGCGCCCACCGAGGTGACGACCGTATTGATGGTGGTCACCGAGCTGCTGCTGCAGCTGCCCTTGTTGAGCAGCTTCGGCTTGATGATGCTGTCGCTGCTGGAGGACGAACGCTTGCCGCTGACCGCATGGCTCTCGTGCGCCAGCTCCAGCTCCAGCAGCCGACGACTGACGTAGTCCGCCTCTGGGCATATCTTGGCTATCTTCTGTATCAGCGCCGTTGTCGACGACGTCTTGAACAGGCCGAGCGCCCGACGCCTCAGGCCGTGACTGAGGCAGGTCTCCACAGCAGCGCAGAGCGATGTCACCGAGCTGCTCTCCTCGTGCACGTACTTCTTGGTGACCGCCTCCTCCATCAGTTGCTTCACCTCCTTCTTGACGCTCGCAATCAGGCGCTCCTTCAGTTCGATTTCTGTATTTGTGAGAAAATCAAGCACACAAAGGATGTCAATTTATGGGCCTGGAATCCGACCGGCGGACCTAATCCACAAGTCGCAATAGAATAACTAACAGGAAAAGGCAGCAACATCCCTTTGAGCTCCTAGGGCCGCCCTTGGATCAGACTCTTTGCCTGCTGGCTTAACCTTTTCCAGAGCCCAGAGCCCAGAGCCCAGAGCCCTCACGGACAATCGCATTGTCCGACCGTTGTCAATCATTCTGTTATCAATGTCAATTCGCCCCATCCCCCCACGCCCCCGCCTCTACCGGCTCAGCGCTCATGCTTATCAGCGAGCAGCTACTTCTTCTGCATGTATGTATGCATACTATTCATGGATGTATTCACGAATATGCTAATGCCAGGCGAAAGGGAAACCCGAAAAGGCGCGCGCTTCCAATTAGAATGCAAATAGGTTGAATCGGGATTTTGGGCATCGACACCGTCACATGCCGACATCTGGCGGAAGCATTTGCTGATGCAGGATTACATATATATATACCTAGATATATCGATTCGACTTTAGCTTAAGGAAAGCTAGAGCTAGAAGCCAACTGGTATCTTATATTGCAGTAGACTGCGATTTTCTAAGGTAAGGTACAGTACCGCTCATCTGAATAAGTTCGACAGTATTGAAATTCTGAAGTTTTCATATCGACTTGAATATGAGCAATACCAATATATGATGAAATACCCTCTTAGCCTTCAAGGGATAAAGAATAGAAAATGTTTTAGAATACCCAATGGAATATCGAGAGCTCGGAAATTCGGAAACATTCGTCTAGAGAGAGCCTACGAAGGTGCAATATAATTATCTGCTATATACTCTGCAACCTTAATTGCCTCAATAATAAATTGGGTTCAATATTTTCGCCTAGGGCAAGGCGTATACTTGATATGATATAAAATAATGGAAAACATACGAAAATGGATGAAATACCGAAAAGAGAAAAATCATTTGAGCTCTGCCTCGCCGTAAATTTTTGCATTTTACAATTTTTGTAAATAGTTTTAGTATCCAAAACCTATTCAGAGGAATCGCAAAATTTGTTCCTTTCCTGATATCGTATTCATGTGATAATCATATAAAGTATAAACTTGAAAGCTTGAAATTGATCAAATTTTGTATGTTATACAATCTATTTAATTCAAAGCTAGAGACTGGAAAATTTTAATATACTTTATAATAGAGTTTGGAATTTTTGTAATCGATATTTATCGAAAAAATCGATTTGGAAATTAAACAAGAATACTGTTGGAGCTATGTGTATGCCAATGTAATACACACTGATATTTCGATATATATAACTGTAAACAAACATGAATAAAATGCTTCGTTTTCTACAAAACTATAATACTTGAGAATAATAACAGTAAATGGCAATATAAACAATAGAGACTTTGGCTTTTCAGGCAAACCTATCAAGTTGAACGTCACTGTGCAGGGTACAGGTAGGACACGACCCTAGGAGTATTATGGCTTGACAGTTATCAAAACATTTAGAGCTTAGTCGGGGGCGTGCGACTAATTGGTGTTAGCTTGGTGACAGCAGAGTTAATATTGAATCGCATGCGATAAGAGAGAGGGAAAGAGAGAGAGGGAGGGAGGGGGAGTGCGAGAGAGCGCTTAAGTAAGTTCGCCATTGACATTGCCATTGCCATTGCCATTCGGTATCCATTTGAATTAATCATTATATAATTTAATTAACAAGACACCTGGGCAGCGCCGCCAGCCGGGCTGCGACTGCTAACCTTGACTTGCCAAGCGAGAGGCAACAAAATAAAGGAAATATAATGAAAAAGCAAAACGAAGAAAAGCTCGCCTCAGCCGTAAACTAGACAATGTGTGTACCTAGGCGTTGGGTGTGCACACACCGGGTGGCACACGTGTGTGTGTGTGTGTGTGTGTGTGTGTGCGTGAGTGCTGTTAGCTACACCTGCGACGCACACTCTTGACCCTGAACAACATAAAACAGCTGATGACAGGCAAGCAGAGCGCGCGCATGAGTGCGAGCGAGACGACAGCTGTTACAAATAGGGAATCAGCGCCTTGAGTGAGCGGCAGAGCGGCAGAGTACAAAAGGAGCGCGTGTGAGGGCGAGAGCGAGAGTGAGAGCGAAAGCAGGACAGCAACAGCGACGAGTGCGAGTGCGAGTGCGAATGCGTGAGTAAATCGTACGGTAAATATGAGCTTGTGTCCTGCTTTTGCCTGTGCGCCTTTAATTTGCCGTCAGCTACGACCTAGCGCTTCATTTGCCCGCGCCATATTGCAAATGGAAGCTGGACCCAAACATATGTTTGCCACCCAACCGAGCCAAACATATAAATATGTGTACACACACACACGCGCACACACAAAAGCCACAAGCAGGTCAGGTGCACACACCGCACCTACGCCGCCTCAGCCGGGTATAAATACCAGGTTTACTCGCAGCATTACGCTTTGGTAACCAGATTTCGAAATCCAAGGCTTTGATGACAGGCGAAATGCATGAGGTTAAGCAAAAAGCATTCAAATTTCTCTTCCATCGCTTGGACTGCGGTTTGAGTTTGGCTGAATAAATTAAGGCAGTGCAGGGAAGAGGGAACAGCCTAGCTTATCGCGTCTTTAATGCCAACTATGTCTTAGTAAAGTAGGTGAAGTAAGGTAAGGTAAATGAACTAGAGCGAATAGCAATAAAAAAGTAGGAAAAACTTATATTATCTACGAGTCTAGGTCTTTTAAGAGAACTATGTTTCCTTAAATGCACAAGGAAAAATATTTCAACCGGGAAAATCTTAATTAGCTAATTAAGAGGTAGTCTTAGTGTTAGTAAAGTAGATGAAGTAGAGCAAGGTAAATGAACTAAAGAGAATCGCATTAAAAATGTAGGAAAAACTTATTAGATTATCTACTTCAAAGATAACTAGAAAAAAAGAAAAAAAAGAAAAAAAAAACTTTACAAAGTAACATTTAAACTCTAGAATAAATATTTCAGCGAAGAAAATATTTTTTAATTAGCTAATGAAAAGGAAGTCTTAGACTTAGAAGAATAGGTAAAGTAAGGTAAGGTAAACGAACTAGAAAGAATTGCATTACATATCAGGGAAAAATATTTGTATACCCTAAACCCATTTTCAATGGGAAATCAGGGTATAATGTTTTTTTTTATCTACTAGGGTAGGTAATAACAGCCCTCAGCTTAGCTTAGCATATCTTTAATATAAACTATGTCTAATAATATTTAAGAAGAATATTTTAACTATCCCTTGATTAGCTGGGTAAGAGGTTGTACCATGCTTAATATTTAAAGAAAAATCAAATAATTAAAATTAAGGCAAGGAAAATTAACTAAAGTAAAAATTGCATTGCAAATCGAGGAAAAACATTTCAGAAGACCAAAGCCAAATGATTTAAGTATCATTTGATTATCTGCAGAGCAAAGAGATTCCAGGTATCTTACTGCATCTCTAAGAATAACTGTAACTTACCAGAGTAGAAAAAACTAAAGCAAGTACAAACAAAACAAAATAAACAAAATTACATTTAAATTCAAGGAAATTGTTTAGAAAAGAGTCGAATACATAAATACATAAATTGATTACCTATTGAGAAAGGTACATAAGAGGTCACAGCCTATCGTAACCAAAAGGCAAGCCAAGAATTGGTAAAGCGAATTAGCCGCAGTTAAATTAACCAAACCAATTAGCAAAACAAAGCCGAATAATATAGCTTGATTACCTATTAAAGTGGGAAAGCGGCCTCAGCTTGGCTTTCCGTGTCTTTAAACAGTTTAATATTTTAATAAATTAAGAAAAAAAAAATAGTGAAGCAATTTTACTCAGCAAAACATTAAAGACGGGCAAAGCCGGTTACTTAAAGCGTCGCTTGATTAGTTATCGATGAATGTAAGCGGAACCGGTGCGGTTGCCGTTACCGGTACGCGAGCCACTCATTAAAGGTCGATATTTACTCAATTAGCTCGACCGAGGCAAAGGGCAAGAGCACAACAGTCCGTCAGTTCGCGGACTGCAAATAGACGTACGGACAGACAGGCGTGTTGTACGGCGTGCAACAGGCTCACAGGCGCGCGCCACAACACGCCCGGACACCCGGACACCTGGACGTCAGGACATTGAAATGATGAATGCAAATTTGCGCGTCTGACCCTGAACTTTTGCATTTGACGTTGGCATTGCTAGAAGAGACGCCAAAGGCCACTTCACAGGTATGCGTAATTTAATTGGCTCCGCCGGCCAATTGGCACACTCAGCGCACTCCGTGGGCGATGGCTAACCGATAAGGCCGTCCATACGGCGTGCTGCACTTGAGCAATCGATGCCAATTAGTTAGCTATTTGCATTTTAAATATGCGAATGCGTTTAAGTCGCAGCAGGTGGCAGCAGGTGGCAGCAGGTGATACGGCCGTTAGGTGTTGTTGTTGTTCTTTTTTGAACAGCAGTTAAATGTCAGCGCCTTTGAAATGAATAAGTCGACTTAATCGTGGCTCAAGCAATTCATTCCATTTATTATTCAGTGCTTCCTCGCCATATCTCATTCGTCTGATAAGCGGTAATCAGTAATATATGAAGATAATGTAAATAATGCACAATATAGTTGAATTGGATCTATTAAGTCCAAATTGCTGATACGTTTAGATAAGATTCGCATCTATATGTTTATTGCTGAGCTGGGTTTGAATAATGCAAAATTCATGAGCTTATCAGCTTCGTGTGCTTATCAATGGTTGTTGCAAGCTTTGACAGGAATAACAACTCGGTTTGATTTACGCACAACTATTCCAATTTGCTGGAATTGCAGACGTTTCTTTCCAAGTCCATAAAAGTATGCTACATAAAAGCTTTCCAATATTAATAAGGGCCGCATCAGCGGAATGAAAACTTTGTGTCTGACTACACATATCATACACACACGCACGCAATAAGAGAGAGAAAGAGAGAGAGAGAGAGACACGGGCAAATTACAAAAGTTCTGCTCTGCTCGAAAAGTTGCTGATAAACTTCGCATTTGTCTTGCAGAACATAAAATCATTTCGTTTTCTCACCTTCAGCTGCGACGCTTTCTAATCATCAATAAACATACACAGGCACGCACGCACTCACGCACACTCACGCACAACATACATAAACATATACACATACATACATATACACATTGCTATACATAATATCAAAGCTATCTCGCTTGTTGTCATTGTTGTTGTTGCTGTTGCTGCTATTGTTTGTGTGGTTGCGGCATGGCAAAACGTGAAGCAGAAAAAACAACCAAAAGAAAGAACAAAAAAAAAAACTTTTTCTCACTCACCGCTGGTGGCATCGCTGTTGGCATTGGAGGCGCCACCGCTGCTAAAGCTGTGTAGCATATTCATTTTTGGAGGATCCGAAGTACGTGCTTTGCCGCTAGCGAAGGCTCCCGTTAGCTGCTACTGTCTGTTGCTCCTGCTGCTGCTCTTGCTGCTGCTGTTGTTGTTGTTGTTGCTTCCTTGCTCTTCACTTCTTTCTCTGTTCGTATGTATGTATGTGCGTAATTCTTTGGGCAAATATTTTCAGTTTCAGTTTTGTTTATGCGTCTTCGTTGTTATTTGCTTCATACACACACACAAGCGCGCTCTCTCTGCCTCGCCCTCTCTCTCTGTCACTCGTTACCTTTCTCTTTCCGTCTGCTGCGCGCTGTAGTCGTGCCTGCTTCTTCGCTCTGTTTGTTGGCGCTGTTCCGTTATGCCAGCTGCTGTTGTTGTTTTTATTTGTATTGTTTTTTGTGTATTACTTTTGCATTTCTTATTATACGTATTTTCTCGCGATTATTATGCAAAACAAAAAGTGGAAAAGTATATTGTATAAAAATCTATATTCGTTGTATTCGTATTTGACAAAAATTTCAGTTGTTATTACTTTTCCTCTGCCATACAGGCATACTACATAAACACACACATGGATCCGCACGCATGCTACTCTATGTATGTGTGTATGTATGTTTTTATAGTTGTTGTTGCTGCTGCTGCTGCTGCTGCTGCGATTGCTGCCGTTGCTGTTATTGTAAAAGCGTCGTCCAAAAATAATTACGCATTTTGGCATATGTGCATATGCGCATGGATCTGTATGAGACTGCGTGCTTGTGCATATGTATTTGTGTATTTACATATGTCTCTATGTATGTACATCTATCACCACACTCGACTCTGTTGTGATGTTTCACTTTTCCGCTGGCTAGCGCGCTCTTCGCTCGTTGTTGTTGTTCGATTTGTTGTTGTAGGTAACGGACGAATATGTAGCTGGCGGGCCCGTTATGCACAGTTCGGTTGTAGCTTTTGCTGTTGTTGTTGTTATTGCATACTTTCTTGGGCTATCTGTCTCACACCATTTTTGCCTCCACACTGTGTGCGTGCGTGCGGTTGTGTGTGTGCGCGTGCTTGCGCGTCTGTCCGTATTCTGTTCGTCTGTTCGCTGTTGTCGTCCGTTTGCCAGCAGCCTCGTTTGTGTACTAACGGCAACTTATTGACACTCACAAGGCGAAGTAGCCGCCAGTCGCATTACACCGAGTATCGAATGTCGATAAATGGCGACAGATGTAATGTAACGGTTTGTTGATGATTTCAAATAATTGAAAGGATTTCATATTTGAACAAAGCTGTGGGATATTTCTCATTTTATGAATTCAATTACATAAATTAATAATTAAAAACTATTTTAATTATAATTTTAGAAATCATGAAACTAAACTTAATTTAATTGTAAACTTCATTTAACTTTAAGCTCCCTTTAAAAATTATTTTAAAGTGAATACTTTTTAATTTTGAAATAATTTTTTAAGGAAATGATTTTCCTGAAAGTAACAGCATAAACTAATATTAAATTTTATTTTTCTGAATATATTGTAGCACTTAATGTTTTTAATAATAAAAAAATACTATGAAGCTGTTTTTATTATTT